TGGAAAGTTTGGATAAGTCAGGTTTGTATGTTGTTGTTTTTAGTTTTAGGCACGATTCCAGGTTCTCATCAATAAGACGACTTCTCAATTTACTCTTGATAAAGTTCATGCTTGAAAATGATTGTTCGCATAAACATGTAGAACCGAATAAGGAAAGTACAGCAAACACTAGTTTTTTCAACTGAAAAAATATGAGTCAGGAATACTATTCCAGGTGTTAAAAATCAATGTATCTTCCTTCTCCAGGTCTTTCAAAGCAGACCACTTGTGCTGTGAACTAAGTTCACATTTGTTTTTCTCCAATATTTCTATTATCAGCACGAAGAAGTTCAAATTTCGAACTCCACAGTTCTTTGTTTTTTAAATCCAGCAATTGCATTTCAAAGTTTCCAATGTCAATATTAAAGGGAGAAAAATTTAATTCTGTTGCAGTAGCATTGAGAGGTTTTTTAACAAAGGCTAACGTTGCTTTGCTGTTTCTGAATTCCTGTTGAGAAAAGCTTCCCTCATATTTAAAAGTGTTGTTTTGAAATAGCAAATGTCAATATCAGAATTATTTTCTTGGTGATGTTTCAACAGGCTTGGAAAGTGAACCAAAGTTTCTCTTTCAAAATCTTGAGCAAAAAGAGATCATTTGTTTTCGAATGAAATAACTTCTTCTAACATCAAAAAAACTGTTTCCTTTCCCCTGTAGTTTACGATTAAGCTGATTTAGATGAGACGTAACGTCTACTGAAAGGGCGAGGGCTATGCCCTCCCCTCCATCTTGCCTGAATCCTCCATGTTGGGGCCTCGTGTGGCCTTCTTCCCGGAAGCCCAGGCCTCTGCTGGCCACGCCCGGGATTTTAAACTAACCAATGACAATCAAGGGAAGTGCGCGCCATAGATATGACCACATCCTGTGTAACAAGACCCGGCTCACGCCTGGCCAATCGGCAGGGCCCACAATCCCCTTGCACCACCCCCCTATTAAAGCCGGTTTTTTCCCATGGGAGGGCACTCTGTTCTTGTCGCTGGGGCCGGCCGGGAGCAGAGTCGGGCTAGCTAGCCCCAAATAAAAGGACCTTCTGCTTTTGCATCGAACTGGCTCCCAGTGTGGTATTTTGGGGATCTTGGAATCTGGGCATAACATCTACCATATTTCACATTTTTGGATCCACTGATGGTTTGTTAGTTCTGGATAGTGAACACCCTTCTCAAGGAGATATGCTTTAATTCCTATTAATAAGGAAGCGAAACATTTCAAAACGTTTCCTCTTGATAACCAATGTACCTTGTTATGCAGCAGAAGATCTACGTACTCACTCTCCATTTCAACTAAAAATTCTTTAAATTGGTGATGATTAAGAGCTTTAGCTACAATGGAGTTGATACTCTTAATCACCAATTCCATAACTTTGCAAATTTCTTCTGGAAATGTCTGTGCACAAAGCACTTCTTGATGAATGATGCAACAGTAAGTAAGTATCTCGTGATTAATTTTTTCTTTCAAAATAGCAACAAACCCATTTCTTACGCCGGTCATACTTTTTGACCTGTCTGTTGAAATTGAGACAATTTTATCGAGTGGAATATGATGTTTTTCAATGCACTCAATTACAGCATTTGCTATATCCTCTCCATGTGTTTGACCTTTGAGTGGCAATAATCCTAAAAGTTCTTCTTTAGGAACTGTAGATGAAATAAATCATACAAAAAGTGAAACTTGCGCTGTATCATTTATGTCACAAGACTCGTCAACTGCTATTGATAAAGCTGAAACCAATTTAAGATCTTTGACTTGCTGGTTGGTTATATTCAAAGACATTTTGACTGTTCTATCTTTCACAGTTTTAGCAGACAATGGTAACTCTTTAATTTTTTTTAGAATATCTGCTTTGTTCTTAAAATCCAGAAATAGCTCTTTGGATGCATTTATAAAACAACTTTTTATGTATTTGCCGTCTGTATATGGTTTTCCTCTCTTAGCAATCTCTTGACTAACCTCTAAACTTGCAATATTAACATTGTTGGAAGATTGCATCCAGTAATTAAATACAGAACTTGGTTTTTCTTGACTCTTCTGAAGTTCCTCAACTGCTTTCTTCCTTGCATCACCGACAGGATATTTAGTACTAAATGACACGTGTTTAGTTGTAAAGTGTCTCTCCAAATTTGATTTCTTGTTATGCGCCAGTTTTTCCTGACAAATAAGAAAGGTAGGGAGGCCATTTAAGTTTTGAATAAACGCGAAAGTCTCAGTCCATTCAACTTTAAATTCATGGTTTTCATCTTCCATTTTTCTTTGCTTCTTCTTTGTAGCCATGTCAAACAGGGCACCTAAAAAATGTTTCATTATATAGTAATAAAGCCACCAACACAAAATAATTACAATTCTTAAATTGATGACAAAAATACCTGTAGGATTCGCAGCTGGTTGGAAAAATACAGGTAACTTTATGCTTCGAGTAGGTACTTTTGTCACCCGCGCACAATTTGCGGACACGACTAGCACTAACCACTGCACCATGAGACTGCTGACTGACTGGCTCACTCAACTCATGCATGAATAGCAAGCACCTCCCCCACGCTGCGTACCCGCGGCCGCCTGCGCCTCGTCACCCGTCGCCCAACCGACCAACACCCCCCACTTCTTCTAACGCCACTTCTTCAAAATAGACTCGCCCAGACTGAAAACCGGCTTCTGCGCATGGGCCACGAAGTTTCAATTGCACTGTACGAGTGCACCTGCACATGGTATTTTGTGGAAGAGCCACACTCAAGGGGCCAAAGAGCCGCATGTGGCTCGCGAGCCGAGGTTTGCCGACCACTGTCCTAGAGGAAGAATGGGAGACAGGATTTAGGAGGTTAATGGAGGGGGTGCTGGAAGCAATCAAGGCAGCACACAGCAAGGGTCAGGTATGACTTGGGACGGAACCTACTGCAGCCTGACCATGGGGTTCTGGAGCACACACTGCAACCCAGAGTCATCTCACTTTGTGCCACTCCAGAGCCATGTGCCAGGCAGTCCCTGGCTGCTGGCTGCTCTCAGGAGTGGGTGTGGGGCAACCACCTGGGGAAAAGACATTGTCTCAGCTGAGGGAAATCTATGCTGCAGAAGTATCTGTGGGGATGAATGAGCAGCTTGGCGTATAGGAACTGCACAGGGAACCAAAAGCATTCACTATATTGTGTAAGTACTTTAAAGACAACTATCAGGTACTTTGGGGCATGAGGGGGTGGGTGAGTGGTGATAAGGAAGGATAGGGTTCTGGGCAGAAGTGAGATGGGAGGTTGTGAGGGCACCAACGCATGATCAGGTTTAAAGGGAGTTAGTAAGAAAAAGGAATAACAGAGAAAAGAGAGAGAAAAGAGAGAAAAACATTGATGTGAGAGAGATACATCGACTGTTTGCCTCCCACACACATCAGAGCC